CAATTTCTGATTGTGGTGGCTCACGATAAGGCGAGTGTCTCGGGTTTCAATATGTTTTTTTGAGTCTGGTCCAAAAGATTCCCGTGCTCCTTGATGGCTTTGAGATATATACTAGTCATGTTCATTTGAACTTTCCACAGTTGAACATGTGCTACTGCATGTCGTGAGATCCTATCTAGTAGTTTTACCTCCTATAATTGAAGATATAGTTAACCTTTCTGCCATGGATAGACTCCTGCTCCCTGAAACATTTCTCATTCGTTTTAGTGTTGGGAGTAGTTTTTTGTGTGGGCGAATGTTCCGCATTAGGGGCAGTGCTGTGAATACGGATGGACAGGTACCAGGATCTGGTGGCATTCAGGACCTATTTGTTGCTCGGCATCGTAGCTCTGTGGGCTTGAAAACACGTAAGCTTGTGATTCCCCTCCGACCAGCGTTTGGCATGTCCAGGTTGTAACAACATAAAGCGGAATGGCACTTGATTGCTGTCTTGAAACCAACCGTCGACAAACATGGTATCTAGAATGCAGCAGACGTGGTTAGATATTTTAAAACTACACATTTAATGAACGTATGCAACTTCTGAGTAGATGCATGATCACTCTACTAATGTCCCTTGCAGTGAAGATCCTCAACAGTCTGTTTTTATTGTGCATTGTGAGTGTTATCTTAGGGTTAACAAAATTTCACTCCACAAACAAAATAATGGAGTAGTCACACTGAACAGTCCACTGACCTTACCTCTATCGGATATCTTCGTGACCATGGTAGGGCAATACATGGGTAATCTCAAAATATAGGACAAACTCTGGCGGTAAGATGCTGGTTATCTCTAACTGTACGGCGCCATCCAGGATTACAAAGTACCAATAAGTTTTTGTTGGACTTAGATTTAACCTGTAAAAATGTGTGCTCAGACGTAGTGCGTGCAATTGTGTCGGTACATGAATACCTATTAAAACTAAAGCCGTCTTCTCGCGAGCATGTCTAACATGGTGTGTTATTACGAATACATCGCAGGCAGGTGGGTGTGGTAGGCAGAACGGTAAACTAAAGACGAAGCAAAGTCTTCATAATATCCAGGAAGCCTGTGTTCATAAAGTTCCACTTCAGTAGGTACAACTCAACTGCAGTGAAAAACATAGCTTCATTAAAAAGGCCAAAAACATGACGTATTACAAGCATTTTGGTGACAACCCAGCTCAATAGGTACCGCCTTATTGATTGAGTAGAGACAAACCTATTCAGGAGATATCCTCCACAGGTTGTTGCAAAGGAAGTTAAGTAGGCATAATCATTAGGATCCTCAAAGCCAGGCTCCTAGGGTTCTGAACTAGGTGGCAGGCAAAACCCTGGGACCGTTATCCGATCGGGGGTTACAATATTCAGCAATTGACAGTTCAGATTGATTTGTTCTCGGCTTTTACGATCGGCACACATGGGTTTTCAATTGTGCCGAGGTCGCCACAATCAACGGATGGATATCTTCGTTGATATCTTCGTTTGTTATCCTTGGCTTCGCATACATTTATCCACCCACCAGACGACAATCGCCGGACAAAGGTTCTATCATGGAAACTGGTAATTTAGAATCAATGAGTGAATAGTGAAGCCCAATATTTGCTTCTACTGGCCTGCTTCCTCCAACGATTAGTTTAATCACTGGATGGATATACCTATTGTAACCGATGGTTGTCTGGTCTTGGTCTCCTCCGTAGGGCAACAGGAATGGTGTTCCAAAACATTTATTTATACTGAACTACTGTGAGTTTCCAGTAGTTCCACGTTTGTTTAGTTAGTAGAGCACTCCAGTGCTAATAACGTTCTTTCCACTCAACCTTTGATGGACAGTGTTGGAATCAGAAACCGATGGCCTTCAGAACGTAATTACGTTAACATCCAGCCTCCAGATAATTTCGGAGACAGTCCACGGTCACCCGATTAGTGAGCTGCAATACAGCCTGCCATTCTGTCAACCAAGGTCACCCTCAGTAGGTGTTCTTTCGTTGCATTAGGGTCCACTGTTGAAGGTATACTTTACTGCTGAATGGACAGATAACGGATCTTCGGTGAAGCAGTAGATACTTCATCCGGAAAATATCATTATTCCCGCAACATGCTGCAGAAATTTATATACAGACAAGTGCTGTTCCACGATGTGAATGAAAGTTGGTTTTGCGTTTTCCGCCTGTGACACAACTGCTTTAAGCACAAAGGATCGGAGGAGAAAAGGTTGGTCTTCAAGTTTAAGTTGTGGCAAGCATAGGAACCTCAACCATAAAAATGCATTTCCTTGCAGAAGCATACTTGACAAACGCTTTGATCGTAAGTAGTTGAGTATTGCCCAACCTTGTGTCATCTTTACTTTAGTTTAATGAAGAATTCACTATTTCGGCCACTAACATAAAGGTCTTTGTTTCGCACTGTTGACCAGTGTGAACTGTGGTGTCCGCGACCACTTCAACCGCAGTTCACATTTTTTATCGCTTTATTTACAAAATCACGTGAAGTTGGTGATAAATCGGGATGAAACTCTAGCTTCCTATGAAACAAAGAAATTGTCAGATCCATCATCGTCACAATAGTGCGATTATCCTTTGCCACCAAAGGCTTAGAATTACGAGAAGAGGCGGGTACTGCAGTTAAAGCAGAATGGATTCATAGCATTTTTCCAAATTCAAACAAGTTATAAGACTTTGTGTGATATAAATAAACTTCTCTGTACATAATCCAAAAGGATTTCGTCGCATGGCAACAACAAAAATGTAAAATATCTTTACCAATATGAACACCTCTTCAAGAAACCCATTATCTACTGATCCAAGAGAATCCATTTTAACTCCAGTGATTCTGAGAAAACGTTTGCTGAGCTAAAGATGAAGAGCCACTACTCAGTTCATAATCAACGTGCTATATATAGCCAAGTTACACGACGATGCTAATTTTCTGTCTTCACTTTCGTCTTATAATATTAGTGATACTGTTGAGTGTCCTATCTTTTACAAACCAAAGCTTTTCAGGTTCCCCCATTTTAAAAGAGTACAAGCACTTTCTCATTTGTCCTAGGCATACCGGAAAAATCACGTCCTATCATTTAGTTGAATTATTATTGTTAGTTTCAATAAGGTCGGTTTTGTAAGTCAGACAATTTCCATCTGCACATAACAAGGTATTTGATCATAGATTATAGTAGATTGAACAAAAAACCCTTCAGCCGTTTTCAGGATGCTTTACTGAACCACAGTGACATGAAACTAATGGGCCAACGCCTGTAGTTCACCTTAGAGAATAAGTGAAATTCCCAAGCATTTGTTTCTTGAGACACCTTGTAACCGGATACTGCTATGAGCAACACAATGATGGGAAATGCTACACAAGCTGCACCATTCTTATATTTAAAAAACATCCTTTGTCATGCTGAGGGGTTGCCTGGGTCCCACTGTCTGACCCACAGAACTCTGATGAAGGTTAACCTGTGTTCTGATCTACGTTCTGGAAGAGTCGCAGTGGCTAGGTTTGAATACTGATTTTATATGTAATGCAGTTCATTTCAATAGCTTATACGGAAAATGTGGTCACTGTCTCTATCTTATTTTATGTGGCATTCTTATCTCACCGGTGTATGACCGGACAATCTGGTTTTGAGCACGATAACCAAACTTCCTGGCGTAGTTGTGTTAGTATGATGACGTTGCCTATTTAGCAGTCACAACTTACATTGATAGAATGTGTGAAGCCAAAGCAAATGTGGTATAAGAGTCGGCTGACGTACACTGTACTCCTCGCTAGTCTGTTGTATCTCAACGTCCATTTGATTAATCCGAGTGTCTCAAGAACGACCAACCGGTCTTAAGTTTTGCTTTTACTAGGAAAGTTGGGAGCTTCTCAGCTAGAGGTAGATTGCTTGCAAGTAGGACAAAAACGAACAAATTGAGACTGATTAAAAGAAAGTAATTTTCACGGTGAGGGGAAACTTAACTTGGATGAACTTTGCCAACATTCGCATTTCCAAAATATCCAAGTGTTGAGAACCGACAACTATGAGGAGCTGTTTCGGTTGGGCTATTGTTGTCCATTAAGTACATCAGGAAGGATGATTCAGTGTTGAAAACAAATAAACTTCAATGTCTCATGTTTGGACGTTTATGAAATCTCGACTCACTCTCTAAATACCGGCGCAGATATTTGGTCGACGCAGGGTTCAGATTCCACACCTGTCAAGCATATTTGAGGTTCCGTTACTTGACGTGTGCATGCATGAATCCAACTGTGACTTGAAGAATGCGATCAGACGAATATATCTATCCCTCTTTGGGACTTTGACAACTCACGCACATAAATGATCTAGATCGTATTCCAGTTATATTCCAATTTGATCTATTAAATAAGTGGATTTTTTTTCACAAAATTACAACATGGTTGAAAATTTTTCGATCACGTCAAACATGTTTGTCTCGAAAAAATGGCTTATTCACACTAGATGGGCTGTTTTCATATAATTTTTGAAGCCGAATTCCCCCCCTCTACGAATTGCTGTTAGAATGAAAAAAATATTAATTTCCATAAGAAAAAGACTATACGATATTATCAGCCTTGGAAGACACTTCACGTATTCGGCTGTTCCGAGGTCGTCAGGTTGGCCTTAAATTTTGGTTTAACTTAACAGCCGAAAACGGCATTATCAAGTCTCTCCACGGGTTGCCTTGTTTCTGGTAGTCAAGTACGCACAACCTGAAGGTGTAACTGAGCTGTGCAAATTCGACCATTCTATTGGATATTTGGATGAGGTATTCATTGAAATATTTTGGTAGCCTAGACCTGAGCACGCATACACACACAGGCCTTTCACAGATAGTCACTGTTTACAGAAATCAAGCGCTCACATGCACGCAAGCGCGTATGCACGCACGCACCCCAACAATCGAGTATGGGTGCAGGCATCTAACGGTTTCAATCGATTAGGGCGGAAAGACACGTGCTTATCATACTGACTGAACGTTTTAAGACGCAAGCGTAAATACGTGGAACCTCGGACACTCATAAGAATTCCTCAAGTTGGTCCGAAACGCCATGTAGTTTGAGACTCTAAACATTGCACTTGGATCTGTATGTGTATGTGGATTATCGACTTGTCATGACACAAGTGTCTTGGAAATACACAGCCCCTCTTAGACGTATTCTGTCGTGCTATGTCCTACTCGTATCACTGAGTTGTGTGGGAGACACGAAAGATGTGTCCTCATCCAGAAAGAAGGTACCAGTCATCTTTATCAAAGGTAAGTTGGCTTCATGTGTTACTACCATTTGTATGTCACGCCAAAGTTTGTGTGCAATCAGAGATTCTAAAGGTTATTTAGATGAGATGCGCATTATTGACGATTCTCCATAAGGATGGCACAGTCGTTTACCGTTTCTTGACTTTGCAGTTTAAGGTATCTTCACTTGCAAGATAAACCTTACATTGAAACTTCAAAATCCCATCAAAATTTACGAATGAATTTCATGGTGTCACGTGGCTGTATATCTCTCTTCTCATATCACTCAAGGATGAAAGTGAATACCAGTATTAGTAGTTGCATTCGTCGGAAACTGCGGCCAGATTTCCGTTCACATAATTTTACCCGCAAAAGCTAGTTTTGTAAATTTGTGATTTTGGTTGGATGAACCTCAGTTCTCACAACAAGCCAACAAGAAGCGAATCGATCAATGGTCATACGAAGCTCTCTTGCTGCATAAAAATTTCCCACGGATGACTGCGAACTATTTTGGGTTGAAGATGGTTCTCAGCGAATAGATTTGTGGAGATCTGCTTAAAAAGGAGAGACAGATCTGTCAGTGTCAGCAAAACGGAAGTGCTTTCTGTAGTATCTAGGACAGAAACGGGCTACGATCAGACCATAATGCTGACTCGTAAGAATTTATTTCAAATCAGCAGCAACCACAGTAAGTAGCCAGAACATATAACCATCCAAAGGCAAAATTCATTTAAAAAACACCTTTTATGATTATATCATCTCTTTTACCCAATAAATAGCTGGATAGCCTTTTGTATAACATATGTTGTTTATCAGAGGAGGAATTGTTTCACAAGGTGAATGAAGCTTCCTTCAGATACGTCTGTACTTGACCACATCCGTGGATGAAGGATGAGTGGCACTATATCCGCTCTAAGTGAGACCTAACCGCACTGTTGACCACCTATCTGTGGCCAAGCGGCAAAGCGGTGAGTTACTGGCCGGAAGGTCATGAGTTCAGAACTCTCTGAGTTTCGTTAGATGCACACTGCTGATGACTTTTAACAAGGATGATGAGCTGTACAGTGCTTCTCGGTTTTAGCTTCACTGACACAATGGAATCTCTGTTGAAAATTAACAGACTTTGTTGGTAGTGTGAGGAGATTTGGGATTTTTGTGGAGATTTCTTCCTGTAACTGAAGCCATTCCATGCTGAAAAGCCGAGAAGCACTGTGCAGCTGTTTCATCCATATTGGGAATCATCAGCAGTGCGCATCTCACGAAACTCCGAAGAGTCTCGAACCCGTGACCTCCCGGCTAGTAGTTTGGACACTTAACCGTTTGGTCACGAGTAGCCGAACAGCTAAGGATGAAACAGCTGCAGAGTGCTTCTCGGCTTTTCAGCATAGGTGGGCTTCACTTACAGGACGAAATCTCCATATTACCAGACCTCCTCACATTCCTACCTATTTTTTGATTATTAAATTCGGAAATTAAGTGGCTTTGCATTAGGATTTTTGTTTAGTCGGGAGAAAACAGCAGCAGATGCAGATTGGATTAAGGCAGCCAACAGCAATGCATTTTCGATCTCAACTTTTTCTTGGGTATTATTGTGTCATCAGGCGCTGGTAGACCTTCTTTGGCTTTTGTCATTCGCGAGCACTTGGTTGTGGTTCTTTTTATCGAAAACCGACCACCCTTCCTCCAAATCTGTGGCATTAGCATTTGATTCCGTTCACTTTTTACATAAGTTTTTCATGTGGTGAGGTTTCGTTTCTTAATAGAATTTTGAAAAAAGTAAGGCATTTTGTACCTTGGGCCATGTTAACCTTCTGGGTGGACCAACTCCGGAAGAGAAATTTCTGCAAAACTTTCTGATATGGGACAGAGTCCACTAGATTTGAAGTCTTCTGTCCAGAGTGGTCTTTTGAGAAAGGAGCGTATGTACATATACCGGCAATTTCTACAAAATGCTTGAACAAACAGGAGTGCTTCAAAAATACAAAGTGAACTTAAGCACAAAGTGCGAAGTAATTGCAAGAGAAGGAGAAATCAGTTAGGTTGGTGTTGGACGGGCCTGGGAAAATTTTTTATACAGATGGAGGGAATGCTTTGGTGTAGCTCTAAGGAGGACGAAAAACTGGATAGTCTATGAAAATATAATCTTTCATGATAATCCCTAAACGGCCAGAGGAGACGGGGCAACATTTTATCGGTTAGTGGTAGATGCCATCAACGAAACATCCTACAAATTATAGAAATATTCCCCACAAGAAATCAAGGCTAAACAATGACGAGTGTAATATGGAAGCGACACAAGTATTTTCCCATCTCGGAGCATCGTCCAGGAGTAGTCATTTAATGATAAATCTGGATATTTTCAACGAAAAATTTCAAAGAATCTCTTTGTTTGACGTCTCTGAAGCGTCTTCTTGGCATTCAGATTACGTCTTTTTCACTCAGGTGTCTCAGTGCGACTACCAGTTTGGTTTTAAAGCCATGAGATTTACGAATTTGTTTTACTCGATGTGTTGGTATGTTCCAGTGGTTATTAATCAAGCAGAAGTCGGAATTGGTAGTTACTATGACCCTGGCAATGACTGGGAAATTCCTCATGAAGAGTGTTTTCAACGCACAGAATTTAAGCGTGCATAGGGTCGGAAGAAATGGGTTTAGGAATTCGCTTTCACGATAAATGTACCTCCTCCCCTCACATGATTGAATCTGTGATCTTTTGATCATGAAAAATTAACACAGCTCTGATTTTAACCAGGGAATTTCCAATATACCCAGTTTCTGCTCCGATGTCTCAATGAAAAGCTGACAACAGGCCTACAATGCCAATACTCTATTGTATTCGTTTTGAATAAACTTTCCAATACCGACAAAATTAATATTAGAACACTGATACAAAGCTGTGGAAACTAAAATCCATTTAATGTTTTTCATTACTTTTGTCCAAATTATCCAAGACATTATCATCCAGTGTACTCGGTGACAAGACATTTCATCCTTCACCAGATTCGAGTTAAGTAATGGAACGCGAATCAGCAGAAGCATTTGTTTTTCCGAAGTGGTTTTAACCCGAAATACCTACTTTTTTAGAGGCAAAAAGGCTGGAAACTACTAAATGCACATCTTTGTGGACTCAGCAGTTATATTTTAATTCAGGTCGGAATTTCTACCACCCAACCTCCTGGAATGTTTCTGTCAGAGAAGCAATCTGTTGACAGGTGAATAACTCATCTTTCTGACTGTTTCTAGCAGTGATGGAAGCCAAAGGACCGATAGTAGTAAAGTGACTTCGTCGTGAGACATGTGTAGTCACACTACAGAATGTGCAGTGGCACGACCAAGCCGGAAATGAGGACATGTGTCAGACAGTCTGTGTGGGTGCCGGAAGTTGCAAGAAAAATGCTCGACCATGTATGGCGATCGGTTAATACCGGCGTGAACATACCCTTTGATACATTGCGGTTATGAAAGACCAATTATTCGTTGATGTCCTGGGCGTATTCAAGGTAAAAATGCACATAGTGAGGTAAATAATTTACGCATTTGCAATTATCATAGAAAAGTTCCTTGAGAGAACCGTTGAGATTCTCCAGATACCAATCTAGGTTGAAGAAGAGATCGGTCGCTTTTGAAACCAAGTCCCACATTAAGCTAGAACATTTAAAGGCTATTTGCTGAACCAGTCATTCGGATTCATCCAGAAGTTATTTCGTGATTGGTAAGTTTGGGGTCCTTTCAACACCACCAACGTCACTTGATTCCGAAATCCATGAAGTATTAGAAAGTAAGATACTGAACATTATGTGGCGTGATCGTTTTCCGTGAATTCTATCTCAAGTTGTAATCGATTAGCTGATGGGTATAAAAAATAGATAATCGACAGGAATTTTGAGTTCAAAGATCCAAGGCTACCGGTCAAATAATTACATTCGGGAGCTTAAAGATGTGGGAATTATCCGGCGCGATTGAAATACCTTATGCCTCATTCCGTCGTCCCCAAATAGCACGAGGGTGTAAAACCACAGTGCAAAAGAAATGGTGTGGAAAACGGAGACAACGAAGTGAGAGAGTACGTGCAAGTGTGAAGCACACAACGAGCAAAAAGTTTGACGCACAAGAGCGCAAGAGTTCCAGTCCGTTTAAAGCAAAATGATCATTTCAGTTCAGACAAGCTCACACATCAACAAACACGCTTCGATATGTTCCTACAAATGAAAGGATACAGTGGAAAATGTTGAAAAGTTCAGCAAGTAAAACAAAGAGTACCATTTATTTGGAGACAAGAAATATCGATTGGGAATGAAATATGTACCACGGCTATCAGATGCAAAAGATCGAAACTATGTTAGTACGACCACCGAAAAGTAGCTTAGATTAATTGCTTGTTTACATGATACACAGACCAGTTACGTGCGGTTCACCGAACCTGAAAACACTGGTTACAGGAAGGGGCAATTTTCAGGCATTGCGAATGCGCCTCCACTGGGTTCTTGACTGTTTGATATGAATTACTGACATTTATAGACCAAAGTGAGTACTGGGACGAGAAAAACAACAGAACAAACATATGAAGCTATTGAAGAATTATCATATTCACAAAGCCTGTGTCATTTGAGTTGGCAACCCGAACAAGTACCATCATGGCGCCGGAATGTGAAAGGGGAAATGGACAAGTGATATGGATAATGAAAAACCACTCACTCCGCAATACACGTGGTTGTTCTTAAGGGAGACCTGAGGGACTTATAGCACTAAATGTGCCTAGAGGGTACTGGGACTGAATATCTGATCGCGTGATCCGTGTATCTGAAGTCAGATGGGGAAAGATGATGACGGCTCTTAATTCAGTCGGTCAATGCTGACGCTCCCAGGTTGACCTCAACGGTCAATCACCAGCGTTCTTATAGGAAGGCTTGATGTCTTTTTAGGCACAGTATATGGTGTTTACCGTGTGGCGCTGTGTAAAAATACATTATTGTCAACTGGAACAGGACCGATAGTCTGTGGTCATGTAAGCATTGGGTGGA